AGCAAATTTCAGAGTCTCTTCTGACATCCATTTTGGTCTTTTCTTTCTTTCCTATCTTTTTAATGACCTTTTGCTTTCTTCATGTTTAATGTCCTTGGTGTCATCCCACACCTCGCCTGGTCTTCAATCATCAGCGTTCAGTGTGTCAAATCTATTCCTGAGATGGTCTCTGAATTCAGGTGGGATATACTTAAGGTCATACTTTGGCTTTCATGGATTTGTTTTAATTTTCTTCAACTTCAACTTAAATTTGCATATGGGCAATTTCTGCATTGCTGTTCCAGTCTGACACTGGCCTTGTTCTAACTGATGATATTGAGCTTTTCCATTGTCTCTTTCCACAGATTTAGTCTGTGTGATTCCCGTGTATTCCATCTGGCGAGGTTTAAGTGTATAGTCACTGTGTATGTTGTTGAAAAGAGATATTTGCAATGAAGAAGTCATTGGTCTTGCAAAATTCTATCATGCGATCTCCAGCATTATGTCTGTCACTAAGGCCCTATTTTCCAATTACCAATTCTTCTTTTTTTCCACCTTTCGTATTCCAATCACCAGTAATTATCAATGCATTCTGATTGCATGTCCGATAAATTTCAGACTGCCAAAGTTGGTAAAAATCTTCAATTTCTTCATCTTCGGCATTAGTGATTGGTAGGTAAATTTGGATAATAATCATATTAACTGGTCTTCCTTGTAGGCATATGGATATTATCCTATCACTGACCACACTGTACTTCAGGATAGATCTTGAAATGTTCTTTTTGACAATGCATCTGATGCCATTCCTCCTTTTCATTTCCAGTATAATGTCTGTTCCTCTGGAGAATCCTAAAATACGCTATTATCCTTAGGATGTTACCGACTTAAAGGAATAGGAAGCTCAGGTTCTTTTATAAGCCAAATTAAAAATGTGCACAAGTGCCTCCTCAAACCAAATCTATAACCCATTGCCTTGGAGTCAATTCCAGCTCATAGTGACCTACAGGATAGAGTAAAACTGCCCCAAAGGGTTTCCAAGACTATAGTCTTTATGGAAGCAGACTGCCACATCTGTCTCCCACGGAGTGGATGGTGGGTTAGAACTGCGCACATTTCAGTTAGCCTAAGAGCACTTAACCACTTCACCACCAGGCCTCCTTAACCAAATCAATAGTCCCAAATAAAATTCATTGATATAGGTATTTCTCTGTCTTTCCTTACTAGAGTATAAGCACCTCTAGGACAGTGTCCCCTTTTAGCTTTTATAAGTACTTACCCTGATGGTTTTCAAGCCTAAGTACGTATTAGAATCACCTGATGGAAACCCAGATAAGGTTAGATTAGATTCTGATCTAATTGATCCGTGGTGAGACCCTGGCATAAGAAATCCTTTAAAGACTCATCAGATCCTAACATGCAGCCAAACTTGAGACCCGTGCTTTATATACGATAAGAACTCAATACATGTTTGATAAATTGAATTCAATTTTAAAGTTGATTCTATGAGGTTTGGAAGGCATCTTATTTATTTCTGACATTTTATAGAAGCTGTGGCTAATCTTCAGTGTTCCACTGCTATTCATTAAGTTTTCACCAGGCAATTTTTTTAGAAGTAGATCACCAGATCCTTCTTCCTAGTCTGTCTTAGTCTGGAAGCTCTGCTGAAACCTGTTCATCGTGTATGACCCTGCTGGTATTTGAAATACCAGTGGCACAGCTTCCACCATCAGAGCAACACACATACCACCACAGTACAACAAACTGACAGATAAGTGGTGGCTAATTTGTTTGACTATCTAGTGCCAAACAAAGAAAT